TATTTATATCTTATGCCTAATATCTTATACACTTTACTTCTTTTTATATTTTCTCCTCCCGAAGTTAATTAGGTGAATCGAATTGAGATAGACTTGGAACGCTTTGAAGATCGGACAAAAGGTATAAACGTGATGTAAAGATTTTATAATATATTTAGCGAATTCATTAAAACTGTGTGTCACTTTTTTGAATATTATTTATTTATTTACTTTTTTGTTTGAAGCTATATGAATTGTAAAAATATAGTTATTAGCCGATTCAATTTGATAATGTTATATTTGATATTGTTATATTGGAAATTCAATTGTCTTTCTCTGATTCGAAGCTTTTCACTTCTGCATACTGAAAATATCAAGAATCAAAGACTAAATTACATTACAATGATTGTTCCTCATAAGAGTAAACCATCATAAACATTCGAATAATAATACAATAATTGAGAAAACAATGTATAAAATATGACCTTTTTTATTTATGTTACAAACCGTAATAATCAAGATTAATGATTTAAAATTTGAAGAATAGAATAACGGAGAGAAAAGTAAATACAATGCATTATATAATAAAGGACTAAAAAAATTTTGTTCTTCGTGTCATGTTATTAAAGAAATAAAGTCGGGCTGATTAAGATATATTACTTTATGTAACTAAAATAGGAAATATTAAGCTTTTGTTGAAACAAAAGAAATACATTAACCCGACTAAAGTAAAGAGAAGAAAAATTTAATATTGCTCATAATTGAATTTAAAATGTGCTGAAGTATCTCGAGTGAATTTTTATACAAAATAAACAGAACGTTTTCTTTTATTAAAGAAAAAGGAATAGTTCGCTTGCTAAAGGACATTGCGAAAATCATTAGATAATTTTCGTAATGAAAGCTTAAAAATGATTATCTAAAATACTTGCATGGAGATGTGCAGCTGAGCGATAGATGTGATAAAAAAAAAAAACCAAGTAAAGGTCTCGTAGCGTATAAATCTACATTCGGACATACGGTCATTCGCGTACGCACGTAAACATTAGCATATACGTGAATATAAATATTCGCGCGTGCGTGCGTGCGTGTGTGTGAGTGCCACATAGATACAGCCATATCTGCACCTACGTACTCTACGTACTTATGCTTATACTTTTGTATTCTTTTGCATACTTATACACTCTCTCTCTCTCTCTCTCTCTCTCTCTCTCTCTCTCTCTCTCTCTCTCTCCCTATATATGTCCACGCGAATGTGTATATACGCGTATATAAATTTTAATACACTTAGGTGTAGTCACTTAGCTAAAGGAACGCCTGCGCATAGATAAATTCCCGAATACTAACTCTGCATTAGTATCTATATGTAGGCGTATGTTTGCATTTTTATAGGAATACGTTGATAGGAATCAGCCTTATTTTCCCTCGTAAGTCTTGTCTCGTAAAAACGATTGAAGAACGAGAAGTGAGCAAAACCATAAAGAGTAACAAATATAGTGCCAAAAATTCCCATTACTATAATGTACACGGCATACATAGATCCATCATGAAAGTCGAATTTAGCGACTCGAGGATAAATGTAGAAGTTGTGGAGGGAAAAGTACACAATCGACATGAAGAAGTTCATTTACCACCGACAAGAAAAGCAGAGACACAATCATTTTAATTCGTAATGGCTTGAGGCAGAAGCCAATCCATACCGAACCGAGGCTCATAAATAAAATATCGATATTACCGCTTTCAAAGACGAATACATTTGTTTATTCAAGGTGATATTTTTTTTTTTTTTTGTCAGAGTTGGAGCACTGGTATGGCCAATGTGTTTTATTAGCAAAAAAATTTCTAAATGACATCGACTCACTGCTCTCATTATAGAAAATAATACGAATAACCGGAGGTTGAATATCTAATAAAGAGCCATTCATTGAATATATAAATGTCAAAATAATGATAGTGCAATTGCTCGACGACGATAATGATAAATTACCCCCATCAAACTGTGGACTTTTTTATTTTCAAATAAAGCAGTTGGAAGCTCAATTTTAGAATTATATTATTTAAAAATAAATAAATAATAATAATAAATAAATAAATAACCTTTTATATTAATCGACCACAACTTTGTATGATATTACTTTTCTAAATTTCTGTATTTCAATACTGATTAAATAATATACTTACATGAATTTTACCGAATACAATATCTATGAGAATGTAAATAATGAGTAATTTAGAATTAAATGATGAAGAGGTTTAATTAGTAATCATTACGCTTTCACGAAACTAAAACGATTGAAATAGTGAAAAACTAAATCAAATCTATTATAGTTGATTTACTTTATTATATTTATTTATGCTATTAATTATATTCCTTTTGGTTCCATAATTAAATGTAATTAAAAATTAAATCTAACTAAATTCGCGATATAACATAGATGAAGTTTAGCTTGACGTTAGTGGAACCATTACATTATTCAAATATCATTTAGAAGCTTCAATTAATTATTAAAATTAATTATTAAAATTAATTATTAAAATTAATGCTATTATAAGATTTTATGACTATGATAAATTAAAATTATATTTTAACTGTACTATAACCACGGAATAGAGCAACTAATTAATAATGAAAAAATTTTTGCATAATATCCGCCATAACTCTATACGCATTTTAGCAATAGTTGGCCAATGACATGGCTAATGATATTTAATTAAACTAATTTTTTCAACGTAGAAAAGGACAAAAGGAAAAAAATTAAATGAAAGTAAACAATTAATCCAAGTAAATGACCGAGACTTACTTGCTTGAGATTTCAACTATTTTCAGTGTACTGACTCACTACATAAGACACGAAAAATAAAAAAATACGCCTTATAAAAAAAAAAAAAAAAAAAAAAAAAAATGGAGATAAAATACAGAGAGACAATCCCACATTAACATCGGTATAAATTTGAAATAGAATATTGTAAATCCAACCACTAGTGCATGAAAAAAGTACTCGGAGCAAAACCGGGAATACCTTACGTCCTCGCTCGCATTTTTGCTCAATTCAAAGTGAGCATGGCGCCATTGGAGGGAAAACTGAATAGATGCACGAATATACGTATAAGACGCTAAAGCCGGAAGAAAGAAAGTAGAGGCAAAGTTTGTTTTTCCTGGAAGGTGTACGTTTTGCTTATGCAGAACTGCTGAGTCATTTCACCGAGATCGCGAACTCTTTTGGCATATGCATCGGAAGAATTTCTTCTGTATTTATGTACCTTCGCTTTGTTTCTGTGAGTCGATGTATGTACTTTAAACTTTTGGAAAATTAAATTCTTCCACCCGCTATTTTCGCGTTCGAAGAAAGGCAGAGAGAGAGAGAGAGAGAGAGAGAGAGAGAGAGAAGCCAATGTAATATGAAATGTGTTGCAATTAAATTTTAGAGTTACAAAATTAATTTAATAATTTAATAAATATTCTTCATTTTCTAGCATATTGTATAAATTTAGATGAATAATAAATTACTCGCAACAAAGCGATTAATCTGTATTATTAGATAAATTAATTTTAATGAATTCACTAATCTTTGTCCTCGAATACTTGATAATTAAAGATTGATCGATGAAATTTCTATTTGATCAGTTGAAATGATAATTTGCTTACTTCAATTAGCTATCTCCTGAAATGTATAACTAAAATATATTTTTCAAAATTATCACATATACATTTACTTTATAACACACTATTTCATAGCTTATAAAAAATATAGCCTAATGGCATTTTATAAAAATTTACGTAAGAATCTTCAATTTCTTCCAAAAATGTATATTTTTCAAATCAAATCATTGCAAATCATGAAATGCGTACTTTTAAAATAATATTACTTACAAAAATAAAGATACATACACCTGTAAGAGAATTATTGTTTCTTAAGTAACATTAAAATAAAATTAATAATCAATTTTGTTCGCATAAATTTAAATCATATTTTAAATAAAATACAATTATCAAAATCACAATAAATCATTGTTAATAATCTTGAACGTTCCACATAAATACACATCTTATCACATTTTTTTTACATAAATATATACATACATTTTTCTATAATACCTACATATTTTTTTTTTTAACTTATATATATATATATATATATATATATTTATATAGACACATACACACTTTTCAATTGAATGTTTTGAAAAAATTTTAATTCTTTTAAAATATTCTTATATAAAATTTAACAAGTTTAATAGAATATTATTGCACATAAATATTATACATTTGAATATTAAGAACTGAATATAATAGTGCAATGAAAAAAAAATTATGAAAAAGAATTTAAAAAATTTTATACTTATTAACTTGTTAACCTTTTTATATAAGCTTATATTTATTTTTTATGCAGTCGTTAAATACAAATGAAAATTAACTGTCAATTATTTTCTGAATTGTTAATGCAAGAAAATCATTTGAAATATTTGAAAATTAAAAAATCTGTAAATTAACTGTAATTCTAAAATACTTAAGATGATTAAAAACTCCTAAGAATCTTCTAAAAGCTTCTGGAATTGATTGAATTTCTAAAACGCTTTCATAGACTTACAAACTTATCTAATGTAAAATATCATTTATCACACATAAAACCAGGCTAATTGTCAAATCTTTGTTAAATATTTTATAATAATTATTTTCTAAGCTTTTTCCGTAATTAACAGATTAAACAGTCAATATTAATTACAAAGTTAAGGTTTATTTTTCGAGGATAATATTTTTCAAGTAGCACGCTTTTTAGGACAATTAGTTAAATAAAATTGGAGCGGACGAAAATATCAAGACGAATTTCTGTATTTGAACACATATTAGTTTATTTGAAGAATCTCTTTGATATGTCATAATCCTTATATTATATTATCCATATATTATTTAATTATAAATTGCCACAATCTATTAATTAATACATTGGTTACAATACATTTTTATATCCAAAATGAATACAAAATAATATGGTATACCATTTTTACAAATAATTTCTTTTCAGCATGGCCTCTTGCAAATCACAAATTGAAGTTTTTGACGGGCTACTGGATGAGAAAAGTTCTACAAACGTCAAGCCAATAGGGAAAATCTGTGGCCCGACGCCGGAGCAACATCAAAAGCAAATTTCATCTCACGAGTGAGTACGATATTTCGTTCGGCTGTAATATTTTGTATACACAACAATTTTATACACATACATATACATATAAATACACATGCATACATACATAAATACATACATAAATACATACATACATACATACATACATACATACATACATACATACATACATACGTGCATACATACGTGCATACATACGTACATGCATACGTACATGCATACGTACATACATACATACATACATACGTGCATACATACGTGCATACATACGTGCATACATACGTACATGCATTCGTACATACATACATACATACATACACATATATATATATATATATATATATATATATATATGATACATATTTTTTACAGAATAGTATCTTTTAAAAAACAAAATTCTAATTAATTTTTCCCCAAAATTGAGGGGCAACGACTAATGCAAAAAAATAACTTTTTAATCAATTGTCAAAGTAAGATGATAAAATATTTAATAATAGTTAACAAAAGAAAAAACAAATTTTAAAAATTTTATTGATCTGATAATTGAACATTGTGATCGGTAAATTAACTTTTTTTTTTTTTTTAGACAATTATTGTTCAAATCAATATAAACATTAACTTGAAAAAGAGAAGAGAATTATATAAGATAATATATTTTTATTTTGGCTTATTATAAATAAAATTACGTATATTAATAATTAATATGATAAAAATTTATGAGCAGAAATATATCAATTATTTAAGTATAATCAATTGTATGTGTTATCCAAAATTTCTGTATATAAATAGATATTTAAATGTCTGTATAGATCGTATTGTGATAGTGTATAGATAAATGGAAATTAACGATTTTTTTTTTTTTTTTATTAAATACCAATACACATAAATATAAAAATGCATATAAAACGAAAATATTTAAGTATTATATTAACAATTTATATTCAGGAATGATAAAAACTTGTGATAAATTTATCGATTTTCCTGCAGCAATCGTGTAAGAGAAAAACACAATCGATTTAAATCGATTCTGTATTTCATTTACGCGAAGATAAGAAACTTTTCTATAAATAATGAATTAATGCGATTATTTAATTAGATATGTTATATAATATAATACCATTATATATTATAATACAAAATATATTTCTTGTAATGGTAACGTTAGATCAAACAATGAATAGACGAATATAGCAAAGTCGTTTATATTCCTTCTTAGAAATGAAAAAATAAAAAACAGCTTCACCTCCACTGTCAGAAGCATAGAACTCAATCATTTGACTCACGTAAGAATTGAGTTGTCGTAACCAACTCTGAGCAGCTTTTTCGATTTCACATACTCTGACGAATATCTCCAAAATTGTCAAAGGTTGCTGTGAAGTACCACCATTCTCTTCCCCCATCCCCCCATTCCCGCTTACTCACCTTTTCTCTCCCTCTCTCTCCCTCTCTCTCTCTCTCTCTCTTCTACCTATCTATCTCTGTATATTTCATTGGAACTATATATATATCTAACAATATATCTGTTCCTCAGGCTTTTTTTACTTTCTCCCTCTTACTTAATGTTCTTCTCTCTCTCTCTCCCCCTATAATTCTTTCATACTTTTTTTGTCACTTTTATTTTCCGTTTTTATTCTCTTATTCTGACTATGTTTCTCAAGGAAAACTACCGTTACTAGTAATCTTTTATAATTATAATGTGAAAAAAATTATTTCAATAATAATTTAATTCTATGGTTTCATGAATTGCAAAATTTTAATTCATAATTACCATTTAATTGAAGTAAATGTATTAATGTAAACACAATACCAGATTAAATACTTCATAATATCAATTTCTCTATACTGTCCTTCTAGAACTCATATTAATAATCCTCTTAAGAATTATTTGAAAATCTTGTTTAACGGTAAAATAAAGTGCAAAAGTGCACACAAAAGAATTTTATCTATGACAATTTAATATTTATTTGTAAAGATTCGCGTTTAATTTATAACAACAATATCAACGAGATATATCATAAATATAATAAAAATTGTAGTACACACTGCTAAATACCTTTAATATTTTGGCTTCAAACACACAAATATTTCATTTCAAAAAATTTTCCTCCACCTACTCTCCAATATTTTACGTAAAATACTGCAGGGATTTTTTGTTTAATTTTTCGGATTCCATCGTTATTTACGATTTTTTAAAGAGCAGCTTCACGACCGCACACCGGGGAGTACAACCGGAATGCTCGTTTCGTCTTGGTGTGGATTAAAATAAAAGTGAGTCGTAAGCAACCGTAATGGATGGTGAGGCAGAGAAAATCGCTCAGCTGATATTCCCGAGAGGCAACGGCATCGCGTTACGTCCGGATTTCGCGGTCGAAACGTATCGATATATTATTCGAAGGTGCTTTATATATTTCATAAGCCGACACCCGATGCACATGTGGGCGTGACCATCACACGACATATCCCATGACAAACATATCCCGGCTCCTCACCCGATGCATAAATGCATGCTTTTCTACTGTCTTTCTATCTCCAAATATCCCACGTGTCCTTATCCCTTAGCTCTCATATCTATTCGGTAAAACTTCTTTTCTTCTTCGACGCTGGCATGCCCACTTTTTCCTTTCTTGCAGTCATCGAAGTTATGAATTTTCTTTCCTCCCTCATTCCTCTTTCTATGAATATTACGAAAGGAGTTGAAGATATTTTTATTTTTTTTTTTGCACGCCTGTATAATTGATATTGTGATGTAGATACGGCGAGAGTCATCGTTTTCAAATAAGTTTTTCATTAATTTCCTCCATTTATGCATTCATAATCGAGTAATATTGATTACGTAAATTTAATGAATAACACTATATCGATCTAATGCAGTGTAACGCAAGATAATCTGGATATTTAATTAAAATAAAAACGATTCCTTTACATACGTTATGACAAATTTCGACTCGTCGTTCAGTACTACCAAACAATAATGTACTACCAACAAAATAATAAAATCATACTTATAATGCAACTATTTAGCTCACAGTCTGCCAATTTATTAATTCGAACGACTTTATAGATACTTAAATCGTTCCGCGACTATGCCTGCCTGATAGATTGCACAATCCAACTTCAGATAACAAAATATTAATGGAAAAAAAAAAAAAAAAAAACATTTGCAAGACAAAAACAATAACAGAGCGGACGATAGGATCACTGACAACCGCTGTTCCTTTCACCATTCGATGTACTTTAAACATTTTGTAGCCGTAGTTAATCTTCATAAGTTTATCTCTCGAAACCATTGAAATCACAAGGACAGTGCCCCGTTGCAGTATATAATCCCGGAAATGCGGCTCGTGGACTCAATTTCAGTCTCCTGGCTTCTCTCTAACGAGGGCGTATAACGGTTAGCGAAATACGCCCCGGCCGTACTCTTTTAATATACTTTAATTTCTAGCGTTGACTAGATTTATATGCACACCGAATGCTCGGTGTGGATACAACAACACTTCACGCATGTTTTACGCCCTAAAGGGTCATGACAAATATACCACGTGGACTCGTTTCTCTCCGTAGCCCGTTATTGTCCTCGTTTTGTTACACTTATCTCTCCATTTCCCTTACCTTCACTCGCTCGTTGTACAAGCGCTAATATATTGTTATGTTTTACTATGAAAATAAATGAATCTTAAGGGGATATATCGATTTCATTCGATTTTCCCATTGGACGGTGAATTTGAAGGGAGGAATTGTTTTAGGATTCCGCATTAATACACGTGAGAGCTTAAAATTCATATGTAATATATATTTTTTAAAGAAATGTTAATGGAAAGATTATTTGGTGTGTGGTACATGATATACATATATATATATATATATATATGTACCAAAATATTGTATTATATATGTTACGTCAACGATAGATTTTTACATTATTATTTAGTTACTTTAGTTTTTTATTTTTTATTTCGTTCTTTTTTTTTGTTTTTTTTTTTTGTTTTTTTTTTGCCATCGTACTTGAGAATATTATATTACAAATTAATGATATGAAAAATTGCGTAGAAATTCATTCCTATTCTTCTTCTTTCTTCAATATTTGCTTTTTATCCTTTAATTTAAATATTCTATAGGTCCGACGTAATATATAGATTTAATGAGTTTTAAATATTACGTATTACAATTATATATTAAGCATTAAATTCTTATACGTTATTATACATTACCGATAGAATTTTATTTTTTTTTTTGATTTTTTTTCAACAATTCGGAATAATTTATTTTAATCGTTATATAAAGAGATTTACCGTCGTACAAACAATCACCATCACCACCATCCCCCTCCCGCCGAGCTCCATTTTTGAATATATTTTTAAATTTCATATGAAAATTCTGACGTGGCCATTATCAAAGACGATGCAACTTAAATATCTGTTATTAAACATTCAATTTAAACTTTTGCCTTGACAGCGAATGCTTACGCAAATAACTTTAATAAGTTTAATATTTAATCAAACAAACTTGACCTTGCCCATATAGTAATTAATGTACAACATTTACAGCTTAAATGAAATCCCCGGGCGACAGAAGAGAATGAAAATTGAATCTTTATTTTTCGCCGTATCGCCCCGCAACCTAATAAGTCCAAAATCAAGCACAAAAGCAGCGGCCGCAATTAAAATGAAAAAGCTGAAAACTTGAAATATATAATAACGCTTTCTTGTCGACTCGTTGCCGAGCTCAGCAGCTACACGGCCTCCGCAAAAGCTCCCCCGTGCGCAATAAGCTTGCATACCCCCACTCGAGCACACCCTCCCCACCCCCGTTCTCATCCTCACTCGCCTATTTTCAAGCCGCCGTGTCTTCGGATTTCGAAGATTCGTTATAGTTGGTGGGATTTACGGAGGGAAAGTACACGGCCGATAAGGCCATCCTGCCCTCCTGCCAACCACCGCCGCGTATGTATGTGTACCCCGAGAACGCATACGCAGCTGTTCACAACCGGAAAAGTAACCCGGATAGGGCTTGGCAAC